GGAGGTGGCCATGGAGGCAAAAGGGCAGTGAGTCTCTTGGTCAGAGTCTGGCAAACATAGAGCCTGCCCAGAAATTCCTGCACTCCCCAAAGCAGGACGGGAAGACGGATGGCTGCCCCGCTCTCTGCAGGCTCGCAGGCTAGATGTGAATTTTAACCTGCTCTTGCCTCATTACAAATATGGGGAAGGAGAGGAGGTGTGTACGGACAGGGGAGGGGAGAGGCCCGTAAGATGACTTGCTGTGGGTTCATCCCCCCTAAAACATGGTCCAGGACCCTGTATCTGCCAGGCCTCATTTATAGCCCCCACCATTCAGTAAACACCTACTATGCACCAGGCACTTTACTTACGTTATTCTCACTGCTTACAGTGAGAGTGGGCCTTGCTAGCCCCATTTTACTGATGAGGAAACTGAGATCTGCGATGTTCAGGCTCCCCGGACGAGGTCAGCTAGTCAGTAAAAGCCCGGCTTTCGCCACACCTGGCTGCCTCCCAGAATCCCACCCGGTCACCAAGCTCTTAACATTCACAGCAGCCGCGGTGGCAAAGGACACCCAGCAGGCTGCGGAACAGGTGGTTAATGGTGATTATTGCAAAAAGGAAAAACTGCCTCCGTGGAAGAGGAGGCTGGGCCTGTTACATTTAACAAGGGATGGGACTGGCCGGGCTCAGTCTGCCTCTTAAACAGGCAGGCACCGCAGGGCAGAATTCACAGGTCCGCGGCCAGCCCCGCTGCTGCATACGGTTTAAACATTAAATGATAGGGTGGCCTTATTTAAAGGCAGACCATTTTATAAGGCACAGGGTGCTGTCTAGACTTGGGAACATTTATGAAAGTGGTTCTACTACGCGTGAGTTCCCGTCACTCTGCAGGCGGAGTGACATCTCTCTGGCTCATGCAGGAACCAGTTGGAATGTTTGGGGTGGGAGGGTGTATGATTTCAGACATTTGGTCATCTCTTCCTGCTGGGCCCTTTCCTTACCTCGATCTTTCTTTGTCGTTGTGGGTGACGATGGAGGGAAACTGGAGAGAGGGTTTCTTTGCCTCTGCCTGTTTCTTCATGGCAAAGAGGAAAACTGCATAATCGTTTGTGTAATTTCTGCGTATTGCCCGTGTCCACCCCCTCCCCTGCTCTCTCCCCTCCCCTCCCCCCCCAACGTTGAGGGCTGGGGCAGAATCTTGCTGGTTTTCCCTTTTGTGTAGTCCCAGCAGTGTGCTCGGTACCTGGTAGGTGCCCAAAAGGAGTGAGTGAGTGAACAGTCCAGATGCGGAGAGGCTGAAGTGGCTGTCTTGAGGCCATCTTCTGACTATTCTATTCCCCTGCTCGCCTGCACGGGTGACCATAAGAAGGAGATGGGGGAGGCATAGTCCTGGGGCTGCTTTTGAGGTCCCAGTTGCTTCATCCCTCTGTCTGGCCTCAGACTCAGACGCCACAGTGATCATGAGCTTCCTGACGTTTCGGATGAGGGTACAGTTTAAAGACCTGAGAGAGATTCTCCTGACCTTTATTTACTTAGGGGAACCTACGTATCTCCATTCCCTAGGCCGTCACTTGCTGGCCCATGAGGAACTGGGAAGAATTCAAGTGTGCTCCAAGAATGAAAAGAAGGAAGGCCCAAAGGCCCTATTAGGGGGCACTCTCTTTAGGCTAAAGATGCTGCCATTTATTCAATACTTATCCTGGGCCAGGCATGTCCCAAGCACCTGACATTTAATCCTCACAGGGTACCTGTGAGGCAGGTATTCTTCTTTCCCTACTTGATGGATGAGGAAACTGGAGCACAGAAATGTTATGTCACCTACTCAAGGTCACACAGCTAATGGGTGGTTTTAGCCAGGACTCAGAGCCTCATCCCTGACCATTATGGAACATTCGCCGTGTGCTGGCTCACTTTATCCTTCGACTTTGTGAAGCAGGCACCACCTTACATTATAGGAGCTACATTTATAGATCTCTTTCTCCTTTTATAAACAACTCTTTTAAAAATGTGACAACCATTCTTAGCTTTCTGGGTCCTAGAGAAACAGGCCATGAGCTGGATTTGGCCACAGGCTGAATACGTGGCAAACCAAGAAGCGTTTCAGATGGTGCAAAATGTCCTCACAAAGATAAAGTGAGGAAAGGCGTGGAGGGAGGGAGGTGGCCAGGAGCAGCCTTGTCCCGGAAAGTGGTCTGGGAGGGTCCCCCTAAGGGATCCTGGAGCCAAAGCCTGAATAAGGATGTAAAGATCCGTGATATGTAGAGCCCTTTGCACAACGTCCGCACCGTATAGTAAGTGCTCCATCCCCACCTGCTATTATTACTGTGGTTGTTACTGTGTCCATGGTTGGCCATTAACTGGCCCTGCGGCCTTGGGTGGGTCATCTCACTGCCCTTGGGAGCTGAACCAAGAGTTTCCCCCTGGCCTTGACAATTGCATGTTTCTAAGTGATTTCTAGTCTGCCTTCGATGGCCTTCCCACCAACCCTTTGAAAGAGGGGGCAGAATGAGCCCTCTTTTACATTTTCAATAGAAGATTCATTGTAGGAAGAGGGACACTTTTGTGGCGGGTTATTAACATTTACGGAGCCCTTTTCGTTTCCTCAGTGCTGAGTGGGATTTTGTTAGAATGTGAGAACTTTCCTTTTCATGTGGGGCTGGAAACACCCCCCCTGGCAAGCGGGGCCGTGAGGCAGTCAGCCTCCTGCCCCACTGCTGGCGGGAACTGACAAGTGGGCTTATTTTCTTACCCCCCAGAATGTGGTTACCCTCCCCTGACCCTGGACAGGAAAAGAATTTATTGCTATTGTCATTTGACAATAGAGCCTCCTTGAGGCCAAGTTCAGCCTGCTGCATAATCAAAGGGGTGGCTTCTCCCCTGGCCCATCTTTAGTGCACGGAAGAATGCAGGAGTTAGTCCAATAGCCACCCACATCCTCCGTGGCCTGTGTGTGCTCAGTGTCTGCTTCCTCCGAGAACAAGCTCCCAAGATCGCAGGCCCTGCTCAGACAAAATAAAGCCTTCCAGCCATATCTTTACATTTGACGTCAGCACAGGGGGCTTTTCTCGCTGCATACTGAATGGGGCTTTCAGGAGGGCCTGGGGTGGCTTTGAGCCCAGCACCCTGGTGAGAAGGGGCCTTGAAGCTGGAATCTCATTCATCTCTGGGCAGCCCCCTCGTATCCGGCTTCGGGGTCTGCTCCCAGTCTAGGGGAGGATGGTGACTTTCCCTGGGTTTACAGCACGGCGTTCGTGTTTCTAGTCCTCTCTGTCCATTCTTCCCTTGCCCTTGCAGGAGGATGCCAGAGAAAAACTAGGCCTCTGGGCACGTCTTCGTGGTGGTGTTTGCCTAGAGTGGTCCTCCTTTGCTCCAGTTCCACTGTCACTTCTCTGGTCTGGGCTCCCATCACCTACCCACAGACATCACCCCTGCCTCCCCCTCCTTTCCTCCTTTCTCCTCCTTCCTCCTTCCCCCTCTATCTACCTAGCACCTGCCTGCCTGCCTGCCCACACTAAGGGTTTTTCAGGCCCGCCGTGTGCCAACACAGAGTTAAGCCCTGGAGATAAAGCAGTGAATGAGGTCCTCACTAGTCTAGAGCCAAGTAACGACACAAATACTGATTTCCCTACAGCTGGGGAGGCTTTTGCAAAGGGAGATAGATACGTGGGCCTGCTGGTCCATTTACCTCGTTTCTTGGGAGAGCAGCTAATAGCAAAAACAATAATAGGAATAATAATAACAGCTGCCCAATTCTTGTTGAAGCATAGATGGGTTGATTGTAGTTTCCATGTATAGTGCTTGGTGCGGACCCGGTGTGAGCCAGAGGATGTGAACATTCCCAGATGTGAGTACATCCCCGCTGAGACCGACAGGGCACCCCCCTGTCATAATCGAGGTGTGGCGGTGATCTGCTGGCAATGAGGACGCTGCCTCTCCAGAGCACTTCATGCCTTTGTGATCCAGAGGGATGGGCTAAATGCCTTGCATCTAGGAGAGGGTGGTCCAGGTGAGAGCTGACGTCACAGGAGGGCCGCGTCAGAAGGGACGAAGCTGGCCGTCGGAGCTGGCAGCAGATCGGTTGGAAAGCTTCCTTGTTACCCGTGGACACCTTTCCCCACCAGAGTACTTTCTGCCTCCCTGAGAGCCAGGGCAAACTAAATTACCAAGCAACTTGTTGAGGAGCAAAGATGAATCCATTGGCAAACGTATATTTCCTTATTAGATTCCCATTGTCATTTAATGCCTTTTCATTTCTGTGTTTTTTCTGAGTCATTGCTCTGCGCGCTGGCCCTGGCAGCCCCTACAGTTTGCAGTTGCAGACATTGGCACGGGAAGCATCTGGGGCTGGGCAGGGAGTCTGGCTGTCACTCCCTTTGTTTCGTCCTGATCTTTCTATAGCAGAGCCTTGTTGTCTTGTCACGTGCTATGGAAGGTGCCCAGGGCCAGAGGAAGGATGAAGGAGGGATGTGGCCTGTGAGCCATTGCACAACCAGAGCAGAGGCTGGAGTCTTAAAACCCTGCACCTGAGCAGAACCGGCCTCGAAAACACCGTGCAGTGAGGCTTTTCTTAGCCATTGCTGCGGCCGCTGCCCGCTGGGGCTGAGCCATGATGACCTCACCCATCCATGTTTAATCATCAATACCCTGTAAACCGACCTCTTCTCTTTCCTTTTTTCAAAGCATCAGGATTCCTAGAGTAAATGGATTTGGCCACGTGAAGTGGCCTCTGCTTTATGGAAAAACGATGACAGCAAAACACACACACACCAAAATAAAAAGACCTGACCCCAACCCAGCGTCCCAAACCCCGGGCTCTTGGAACCTGATGTTTTCTGTTGTCAGGAGAAGGCTGTTTTTGCTATAAATGAAAGGCATGACAGGGGGCATTTCGAAGCTTTGTTTTGGTTATTGTCGGTTCTGCCAACAAGTAACATCTGTATTTATTTTCCAAACTCCCCCAATGGCTGATTTGCATCTGTTTAGTCCTCTGAGTAACATTTCATTTCCTGACTTTATAGGTTGCTATAAAATCCATTCGTAAGGACAAAATTAAGGATGAACAAGACATGGTTCACATCAGACGAGAGATTGAGATCATGTCATCCCTCAACCATCCTCATATCATCAGTATTTACGAAGGTCAGTGATTTTTTTTTTTTTCACCCGCGTATCAGTTACCATTTCTCATACCATGGGGCCTGCCAAGATTTTTAGGTAATTGCCCTTCTGGGCAAGAGCCAAGTATTTTTTCCTCATGATGCAAAAATAGCTGGGTGTTATCTCCTATTTGGTTACCTTGAACGCAACCAGACACACGGAACAAAGCTCACTTTGGTCATAAATAGCTCAGGCTGGTGCCTTCTTCCGCCTTCTGGCCAGTTCCTTGGAGGTTGCTAGGCAACCCGCCTTATTAAAAGCCAGTATGCGAGACAGCCATGGTGTCTGAAAAATGGCAGTTTGCTGGGTGACTGGGGTCATGTTGGATCCATTGTAAATGTCATTCCCCAACACAGATGCCCCGGTGGTACAGTCGTGAGTTATTCCAAGTTAGGCTCTTTGAGTTGGGAATTAGCTTTGAGCGGGTCCGGGAAGGACGAGGAAAGAAGAGGGATCTCCTGGTGGGGCAGCTGCTTCACAAATGGAGTCCAAGCCGTAATTGGTGTTTGTGGAAGAGCAGAGCTGGGAACGTTTCAGAAATGCTTGTGCTTCAACGTGGTGGTCCTTCCTGGGAAGAAATAGCATAAACTTCCCATAGCCCCTCTTTTTTTTCCTTCTCGCTCTCTTTTGAAATATCCTATAAAAACAATTACTTGAGCAATATACATTTATTGCAGAAATTATTGAAATACAAAAGTTGAAATTTAAAAATAATTTCAGGGGCACCTGGGTGGCTCAGTCAGTTAAGCAACTGACCTTCGCTCAGGTCATGATCTTGTGGTATGTGGGTTCGAGCCCCGCGTCGGGCTCTGTGCTGACAGCTCAGAGCCTGGAGCCTGCTTCAGATTCTGTGTGTCCCTCTCTCTCTGCCCATCCCCTGCTTGCACTCTGTCTCTCTCTCAAAAAAAAAAAAAAAAACGTTTAAAATTTTAAAAAAATAAATAAAAATAATTTCAGTTGTAACCCCCCAGCTCTAATATCACTCTGGCTATATTTATTTATATTTTATCTATTTCTCTATATCTGTATATCACTTTTATCCAGAGTTAGTTCGTACTATTTATACCATTTTTAGCTTAAATTTTTTTCATGTTTTATACTATGCATCTCTTTCTAGGTCAATAGATATTCCTTGTAGGAACATTTTAAAAGACTTTATAGTGTTCCCTTTATGGGCGTATCATAATATAATGAGTCTAATTCCTTTTCTTAAATATTTAAGCTGTTTCAGATTTCTGGTTATTATAAACAGGGCTTTAGTGACCCTCCTTGTAATCATTTTTACATTCATTGCTGATAATTTTTTTTCTTTTATTTTTTTTAATATTTTATTTATTTTTGAGAGAGAGATAGAGACAGCACGAGCAGGAGAGGATCAGAGAGAGAGGGAGACACAGAATCTGAAACAGGCTCCAGACTCTGAGCCAGCTGTCAGCACAGAGCCCGACGCGGGGCTCGAACCCACGAACCGCGAGATCGTGACCCGAGCCGAAGTCGGACACTCAACCGACTGAGCCACCCAGGCGCCCCAATAATTTTTTTTTCTTATGAGAAATTTTCTAGGCTTGGACTTACTGAGTCAAAGTGTTTCTCCAGAATATTTTTTAATATACAGTTGAGTCAGAAAAATGAACCTACTTTTAATTTGGTAGACTCGTAATGTTTTTAATTATGGTCTGATCATAATAAGTTACATAGTAATGGCTAAGAGGAAACCAGATGGTAACCTGAAAGTTTTTCTGGTATCTGTTCTAAGTGTTCCTTCTTCTGGTTTTCTGCTGGTTTTTGCCATTTTCCCCCCTGTTGTTTCTATTTTTGCTCCTCTAGACGTAAATATTGGTTAACAGTTTTTATCTTGATTTTTCTAAAGCTCATTTTTGGAGCCCTTGACGATAGGATGCTTGAGGGAAATCTTCATTCATTCAATCATTTATTCACTCCACAAACATCCCTTGCAGTCATTCTCCCAGTGCAGTCTCTGAGCCAGTAACATCGGAATGTATTTTTAATTTTTTTATTAAAATTTTTTTTAACATTTATTTCTGAGAGACAGGGAGAGACAGGGTGCAGGTGGGGGAGGGGCAGAGAGAGGGAGACACAGAATCTGAAGGAGGCTCCAGGCTCTGAGCTGTCTACACAGAGCCTGACGCGGGGCTCGAACCCACAAACCATGAGATCATGACCTGAGCCGAAGTTGGACACTTAACCGACTGAGCCACCCAGGTGCCCCCAGTAACATTAGTATAAATTAGGATTGTTGGAAATGCAGATTCCAGGGCCTCATTGAGGACCTGTTGAATGGGCAGCTCTGGGGGTGGGGCCCAGCAGTCTGTGTTTTAACAAAGGTGGGAACCACCGGCCTACTGTCTGTATCTGGTTAAGCACTGTGTTAAATGTGGTTAAAAACTGACAGAGGGGGCACCTGGGTGGCTTAGTCGGTTAAGTGTCCGACTTTCGCTTGGGTCATGATCTCGCGGTTCGTGGGTTCGAGCCCCGCGTCGGACTCTGTGCTGACTGCCAGCTCAGAGCCTGGAGCCTGTTTCAGTCTGTGACTCCCTCTCTCTCTGACCCTCCCCTGCTCACACTGTCTCTCTCTCTCCTAGAAATAAAAAAAAAAAAACAAAAAACAAAAAAAAAAACTGACAGAGGAATAGGCTATAGAACTCATTTTCAAGGCGCAACACAAGGCATGATAGAAAAATATTATGTTGAGATACAAGCAACATATCCAGCACTATGGAGTCCTGGTGCCTAGATGTTTCCATGACATACAGCCTGGGCCTTGAAGGCTTTTTGTTTTGTTTTGAGGCAGAATTGGCAAAAGTAGAATTCTACGTTGATAAATCTGAATCTGCCTGCCAATGAGGCGAATTTCTAGAGTTTAGAAGTGAGCGTGAGTTTTATACAATTCTGAGTGTTCTTCCTCCACGTGACCTGGTTACCATGGAAACCTGGAGGCAGCAGCGAAGGATGACCTCTACAGTGTGGACCCGTGTGGGTGCCGCGCTCTGTGTGCAGTGCTGTGCTTGGGGTTCCTTGGCTCAGAGGAGGAGCCTTCTTTGTCAGGAAGGCAGAGAGAGTGTGAGCCCAGTATGAAGTCTGCAGACTCTTTTTTTTTGGAGATAGTCTGTGATAACTGGGGTCTGGCACAGAGAAGCCTGACTTCTTCCCTGGCATCGTGCTCACTTCGGCCTTGGGAATCCTGCAGGTAGAATGGAGAGTAGGAATCTGTACTCTCAAGGGAAGGATAGAGACCCACCTTAATGGAAGAACATTCTGTTATCAAGGTCAGGTTGGTCTCAGTTCAGCCCCTGCTGGAGGCTTCAAGAAGAGAAGCCTTTGCTTATAACTTTAAAGCTGGGTACCACATAATTTAAAGTTCTTTGGTGACTAGAAATAATTTCCATCAAAGCCGCAGGTGGGAGTTTGGGCCTCAATTCATAAAACCCTCTCAATAGGTTTTAGGGAGTCAGGAAAGAGCCTGACTTCTCACATCCGACTCTTGGGGTTTAGTCCCAAATCCTTCACTTTGGCCTCAACAAGAGACTTTGAGCAAGTTGGGGGGTTTCTCAGGGCATCAGTATAAGATGAGGGTAGCAGTTCTACCTCTCAGGGTTGTTGACAGGATTAAATTAGATGATCCATGTTCTGATAAGCTCAAAAAAGGTAATTATTGTGAAGACAATATATTCATTACAAGTGGTTCCTGTGACCTGGTCCCATGGCAGGGGTCAGTGGGTGAACTACAGGGTGTCTGTAAGCCCCCGGAATAGTGTATAACTACACTGTCCAATACAGAAGCCACTGGCCATACATGGATATTTAACTTAGAATTACTAACATAAAATAATTAAGAATTCAGTTTGTCAGCCCCACTATCCACATTTCAAGGGCTCAATAGCCACATGTGGCTTGGCCGCCATATTGGATGGCATAGACACAGATCTTTTTCATCCTTGCAGGACAGGACTGTGCTGGTATGTAATGTTTTCGATGCTAGGTGCTGCATACGTTAGTTTTTTCTGAGGAGAGGGTATGTAGGTTTCATTAGATTGTCAGAAGAATTCCTGACCTCAAATAGGTTACAAAAACCCTCTCCTGCCACCACGTATTTTGTGGCCTGCAGAGTACCATACAAATAAAATGAATTGTTTTTATCCAGAAAGCTCCTAGGGACTTAAATGTGGATCACTGTGTGTGTGTGGGGGCGGGGGGGTTGGCTTTTAATTTCTTAGAAATCTCTGGTTTCTGTTCTGTTCTCTTTCCCTTCTCCCACGCAAGTTCTGTTTCTCCCACATCCACTAAATAACTGTGGAGGAGGGCAGCTCCCCTCCCTTCCCGGGAGGTTTGGAACCAGGAATCGCCAAGATGCTCTTCCAGCCCCTACACCTCCACCTGTGACCCCGCAGTCTCCAGGGTCTTCTGACTTTATCTGCTTTGCTGCCCAGGACCCCAGGACTGGGCTCTGAGAGTGAAGTTAGACCTCCTGATGCCATCTGTGAACTCTGTATAGTTTGCAAAGCTCCCCCACGTCCAGCCTTATTTTCTCCCTATGGCAAACCTGTGAGGTGGGAAGGCCAGGCGTCCCATTTTTCAGTTGTGGAGACTAAGACCCTGGAGGTTAGAACCTGCTGGGTGTATTAGTTTGGTAGGGTGGCCACAACAGCATGCCTCAGGCTGGGTGGCTTGCACAACAGAAATGTGTTGTTCTTCTGTTCCAGAGACTAGAAGTCCCTGCTCCGGGTACCAGTGTCAGGGGGTAGCTTTCTTCCAAGCCTTTCTCCTTGGCTTATAGATGGCCATCTTTTCCCCGAGTCTTCATAGGTCTCCCCTCTGTATGCATCTGTGTCCAAATTTCCCTTTTTTATAAGGACACCAGGCATGCTGGATTAAGGCCCACTCTGATATTCTCATTTAATCTTAATTATCTTTATAGAGGCCCTGTCTCCAAGTAGGGTCACATTCTGAGGTCCTGGGCATTG